AAAATGTTTTAGTAACAGTCCTTATCTGATTAAAAGAAACAAGGGTGCAAAATGTTGTTGAGGAACTGAATGTTTGCTCACATCGTCAAGGCACTGATGCCAGTGGTGGGGAAGGACATTCCATCTCAGGTCCTGCAGAGATGCTGGAGCCTGTGAAAGGAATATTGAGGCAGGACCACCCAGCCTTCCATGGACTGGCCCACTCTGTGACCCCTGGAAGGTCACAGCACACATTCAGCCGCCACCAGGCCTCCAATGCCCCTGAGGTGGCTCCTTCCTCAGGAAAGCAAGATTTGGTCGGTTTAACTTCCCAGAGAACTGAATTTCCATCCCTGTCTCAGCACAGAAAACCAACTCGTCCTCTTGCCTGGACTCTCAGCTGGCAGCTTTCACCAGTCGTGGTTTGGTCTAAAAATAAGAACCAGTCACTGCCACGCCAGGACAGCAGGTCCCAGGAGCTGGTGACTCCCTTCCCGGAGCTGCCCCATGGCAGGGTTGTGCTGTCTGGTTTCAGTGCTGCTCTGCCCATACCTGTCTCCTTCCTACTTCTTGGTTTGTTTTTTTTTTCTTTTTTTTTTTCATGGATTGATCAAATAATTTTATTTGTCAGATAATTTTAGGAGTCAGGAGAAGGATCTTCCCGGAGGCAGAGAGGTCATCACTCCGTGTATCCAGCTGCCCGTCTTCAGCGGTCACAGAATCCCAGAACGGTTTGGGCTGGAGGGACCCTAAAGTCCATCCAGTTCCACGCCCTGCCATGGGCAGAGACACCTTCCACTGGCCCAGGTTGCTCAGTTATGGACCCCCCAAAGCCGCTTTGTTCCATGTTAGAAGATCAGCTATGAAGAGACATGGACAAGGCCTTCACCTTCCCATCTTGTTGTGTCTTTGGAGAGCTAGAGATGGAAACGAGGTGGAGAACATAACATCAAATATGTCTGTGGAAACCCCATCCCAGCTGGTTCAGTGTCCAAGGAGCCTGTTTCCTGTGTCCCAGCAGTTATGGAATCATGGACTCACAGAGGCTGGAAAAGACATCGAAGATCTTCAAGTCCAACTGTCGTTGCTGCCTTTTGGACTTGATTTCTTCTTCACTCCCAAAACAGCACCAAGCTTCCATGTCTTCTCCTTCCTTATCTTTATTTCTCCACCTATTTGGCCATTTCTACTTCCCACAAGAGACTTGAATTTCCAAGTAGGACTTGGTTTGCTTTGCAAGTGAAGGTGGAAGGCTCTGGAGCAACTGTAGGGGTGGGAAGGAGCAGGATAAGGATCTGTGGTACCCCTTGGGTCATGTAGGATCTGATAACCCAGTGTGGGACAAGAGGGTCCTTGGGAAGGCTGCAGGGGATGAGATGCCAGAGGGCAATTTTGAGGAGATAAGAGTGACTCTACTCAGGGGTAGAGTTGATGCTGCTGCTCCTCATCCACCTTCCAGGTTCTGAGGAATAGTGTCCTGAAAGGAAACCTGGGCACATCCTGATCCTTTAGGGACTTGTCCCTGACTACACGAGGTCCTGGTGGAACCCACAGCAGTGAGAATAATTATGAGCATGCACATGAATTCAGCAGCTCACAGAGCTGTGTAAACCAGCAGTGGCACAGGGGAGGTCAAAGGAGGAAGGATGTTGTAGGACCTCCAGGAATCGGTGCTGTGTCACAGAAGGGGTTTAGAGCTGGGTATTTACGGGAGCTCAGCAATGAACCCCTCAGGAAAGGCCCACATTCCTCCTGCTGGGTGGGCAACGTGAAAAGTAGGGTGTGGGAAAATAGGTGGGGAAGCTCTGATGATGAGGTAACCAAGGGAAGCCTGTTGAGGTCTCTAAATTCGGGATGTGACCCTACAAACCGTGCTCCCCTGAGAACTGCACAGAGCTGCCTTGGGAGGCAGAGTTTTCTTCTGCAGCAAGACGTGGAGAACAGGAGGTTCCTCAAAGGTGCCTGGGCATGGCCAGTCCTGGAGGGACTGCAGTGGCTGTTCCACAGCTGCTGAGAGAGATAAACCTACCTCAGGACAACCCTGACATCTCCCTCCTGGCCAGAGCAGAAGTTGTTGTTGAAATCCCTGGTTTTTGCTATCTAGAAAGAGATAACAACACAAGTAAGATCTTTGTGTTTTCCAGGAGGGAATGAAGAGGTGATTCTCACAAGAACTAACACTGCTGAGCCCTCAAACATGACTTGAGGCATTTATCACAGCTGCCAAACTGGCTGTTCAGGGCAGACCTCCCCATCCAGCCCCCACAGGACCCCTTGCTCTGACTGCTCCGGTACTCCCTGAATTCCACTGGCAGGCAGGTGACAGCACCCATGGAAATGGAGCAGGGGAACACAGTGATCCCATAAATCCCCCAGATCCTGCCCAAGGATGCAGCTCCCACCGCCTCTTCCCTTGCTCAGCCCCAGCTGTCAGTGCCCTCCAGAACGGGGACGTGAAAGTCTTCCAGGCATCAGATGTTCTTCTGGTTGGGCAGAAGGGAAGAGCACGATGGAGACACAGCTGGAAGTTAATCCTGTTAACTGTTGTTATGGATCAAGAAGCTCCATTTCCAGAACACTGAGTTTTCCCCAAAGATTTTTCCCACAATCATCTGGGGATAAGTTGTTCCCCACCAGGCAGCTCCAGGAGCACCGTGAATCACAGCCAGGGAGATCTGCAGTAAAAGACAAAGTGTTCCACATGAAGGCCAGGCTGGATGGGGTTTTAGGCAACCTGGGCTAGTGGAAGGTGTCCCTGCCCATGGCAGGGGGTGGAACTGGATGAGATTTAAGGTTGCTTCCAACTCAGACCATTCTGGGATGATGATTTAACAGAGTAATTTTCCTCTTGGGTTCAGTGCCCGGCTGGTGTCACCCAGCTATTCCTGGGCTGAGTTAAGCTGAGCCTCAGCTCAGAGCTGCTCCTTAAACCCAGTGTTACATCTGGAAGGAGTGCAGGGACTCCTGGATGGCTCTAGACCATTCCAGGTTGCCCAGCTGGGCACCAAAACTCAGTATGGAAATCCCAGCTGTGTTTTGCGGAGCAGCTGAAGACCCGGCCCAGGATTTTGGAATATGCTGTTTCTTCGTTGTTTATGGTTGTTTTCCCCCAAAAGCTACAGAACTGATTATCTGCAGCAATAAGCCCAGGCCCTTCCTGGCATGGGGAGGAGGAGCAGGAAGAATGAAGAGAGCTGAGTGGGACACAAACCCACTGTGGGTCGTGGCCCTCAACTGGACCAAGATCAAAGCGTTTTGCTTTGACTGCAGATCACCCAGTTAAGCAGGACTTTGCTCCTGCCTTTTCCTGCACCCCATATCCCATCCCGAGCTAGACTTCGCCTCCTCTATCTCAGGAGCAAGACCCAAAGAGGTGATAGAATCACAGAATTAAGGTTGGAGAAGACCTCCAAGATCATCGAGTCCCACTGTTAGGTCCCCCCAGAGCCCCCAGTTCCCGGTGCTCCTGTACACCAAGGGACATTCCTGACCCTGCCCCTGTCTCCAAGGTTCTGCTGGGCTGGTTTCACCCAGGCTGTGATGCCTCCCTTCCCCTCTGACCCGCCGTGCCCACCCCGGATCAGGTCCACCCTCGGTGCCCACGCGCGGGCTCGGCCGTGGCCCTGAGTCAGTTCCTGTTCCTGTGGCCCCGTCTATTCTCAGGAGGGTGAGCTGGCTTTTCCTGAGACTGGAAAACACACTTATTTTCCATTCTCTCTTTTTTCCTTCTCTTTCCATTGACACGGGTGTCTAGACTCCACAAAGGGCAAAATCAAGGTGGGCCAGCCCTCCTTCCTGGGTTGTTTCCAACCCCAGTGGGATTGAAGCGTTGGCTGTTGCACAAAGAGGCCCATTCATGAGGTTATTTTGTCTCCCAGGGTGACCTTTCAGGCCCAAAGGGCCTCCAAGGCATTGACAACGCGACCGAAATCGAATTGGTTTTGCCGAATTCTCTGATTTTCCTCAAACTCCTCCTGTGGTGGAGGTCTGAGGACCCCACATTCCCTCCTGTCCCTCTCGTTTGGAACGTGGATGGAGCGATTCCTTCCCGTTGAGAGCAGCAGCACCAGAAGGGCTCAGCGAAGAGTCTCCCTTGAGGGGGGCCTGGACACCCTTTTTTGACCATAACCCCCATTTTTAGAGTGATGAAAACACTCTTGTCAATACCTCAAAAATGGATCTTTTTGGTACCAAAGTATTCAAATGTTTATCTCAGCACTTTCTAACCGAAGTGTTTTGGATTTGCCACTTCAAACAGCAACTTTTTTTCTCTCTCTCCACTTCTCTTTAAAAACATTTTGCTTCCCCTTAAGTGCTGGGAAAACTGTGGAAAGAGTAGAAATATTTTCTTGCCTTGATTTAACTGAAAGATCCCATTTAAATCCCCTCCCTAGACTATTTCTTTCCAGTTTGCTGGTACACAGGAGAGCCTTACATGAAATCTCTCCTTGTCTTACTTCAGCAAAGGGAGAAATGGTTCCTCCCCCAGTGTCCTGATACTGCAATCCACACTTTCTGCGAGTAAAAAACAAACACCCCAGAGAGAAAGAGTGAGGTGTCAAGTGAAGAATCCACTGTTTTTAAGCCACTTTCAGTTCGTGGCACACTAAAATGCATCATTATTTGGCACACTGAAGCCAGGGCTGTTTCCTCACACCAAAATGCTTCAGCCCCTCTCCAAATTCACACTTCTCACTACATTCCCTCAGATTTTGGTGTTTATGAGGTTTATTTTACTGAGTTAAGGTGTTGAAATTCAGCCCTGGGACCAGGGTTTGGTGTGGGGAGTTATCTTTCCCACCCTGGGAAATATCACAGTCTGATTCTCTCCTAAGATCCTTTTTGCATCCTTCATGGCCAGGAACCCCCACACACTGACATCCAGAACTTGTTGACCCACCAGGTTTTGCTCAAGTTCTTGCCACAGATGATTGCACAGCCCGGGATGGTTTCAGTTTATTGAAAATCTTTTATTGCTCTCCAAAACCCAGTTTTAATAAACTCCAAAGAGATACAGGAAGTAGACCAGCAATTTTATTTAACAAACTCAATGGATCTGGAATTTTCTCTGCAGGAAGAGAGCCAGCTCTGTGAGAACAAGCTGAGAAGACCTGGTTTGGCTGTAGTTTGTAGAGGTTGAGCTCCTCTGACTGCACAGCATTTGTCCTTGAATTCCAGCACAACTCCAGGTGAAACCAATGACTCAATGGCTTGGTTTCAGCTGGAGTTTGATCAGCACCTTGCACCTGAGTCAGGTAAGAATAAGATCAGCAGTTTTTGGAGGTGAAACAAGCAACAGTTTGCCAAGGAAAACTCCTCATGAAGGTTTGAAATTCTCTTTCCACCTCCTCCTGGTCAGCAGCTCCCACTCTGCACTGGATTTGTCTACCCTGCCTGTCCTTCCTAAAGAGTCTCCTCCCATTCCAACACTCCAATCACAGGAGCCGTCCCATCTCCAAGATGCCACCAAGATCACAGGTGAGGGCACATCTCCAGCTCCTCTGGTTTATTCCCCATATTTCATGAGTTTGCACAGAAACTGGGCCCCCAGTGAGGACAAATGATTGCCTGGAGTGGCTGGAATTCCTCCCCCTGATCCTGTGAAATCTGCCCTCTGGAAGAGACGTGCCATGAGATGTGACCAGTTGGGTTGTAAGGCAAGAGACCAGCTCCTGGCCTCCTCACACACATAGAAATTGCCCTCCTGAAATTCACACTCGGCAGAAAATGGGAAGGGAGGGTCTTCCCTAATTCTCCAGCACCTCTAAGGATATATTGTTGGAGTCACCAGAAAGGTCATTCCAGCCTGGCTCTGACAGTGAAATACAGCAGATGGCATCCAGGGAATGGCATTGCTTTTGAGTGTTGGGTTCTCCCAGCAGAGGAAAGACTCCCAGATGGAGGTCTGAAGAGGTGACCTCCACTCTAAAGAAGACATGGCAGAAGACTCCCCATCTCACCACCCTTTGCCTGCCCTATTTCAGCCAGTCCATTGTACCCCCAGCACAGCACCTGAGCACACCTTCCCTGCTCCCTCTCCCCCTTCCTGTGGCACTGGGGACACAGGTGGCCTTGGCAGCACTGGGGGAAGGGTTGAACTTGCTGATTTGAAAGGTCTTTCCCACCTCACTGACTGTGTGATTCAAGTTTCATGCAGTGTTTTCCCCCCGCCCTGTAACTCTGAAACACTTCACCTCCCTCCGTGCCCCAAACCGAAGGAATCACCTCCCAGTGAAAGGAATAAAGCCCTGGCACTCTGGGGCCAGCCTGGCACCAAAATAACCCTTGCTTTGGTCATGTCTGCCCTCCAGTGAAAGCTGGCAGCGTCGTCCAGTGAAAATTGTCCTCCTGGGTGACTGTGGTTTGTAAGTCAGCACCGGGATACTTTAGCAGTGTCCAGAGAAAAAGGAATGAATCACCCCCACAGCTGGAAACCCTCTCCCAGTCCCCAGTGACAGGTCATTTTCCAGCAAATGGTTTCCCACTGAGCACGGAGTCGCTGGAGCTGCCTGGAGTCAGAGGCGGGTGTGATGCTCACAACCATCATCAGGGGCCTGTGCTGGCCCTGTCTCCGCCCGGGCAGCCGTGCCCACCCCGTTGGGCACAGCGTGGCTGCGACCCAGGGCTTCCTCACGGCCTTTCACGGGGCCAGTGCTGCTGTTGGGGGCCTCCTGGTGCTTCTTCTGCACCTGCTCCAGTATCTGCAGCACCTGGAAGGAGTAAACACCGCTGTGAGCGGGTCAGCAGCTGAAATAACCACGGAATCATAAAGTCATGGTTGGAAGGGACCTTTAAAGGTCATCAAGGCCAAGCCCCTGCCATGGGCAGGGACATCTTCAAAGGTCCTACTAGCCAGCCCTTCCATTTTCAGCTAGACCTTTTCTTTCAAGCTACGTGTCTGGGCTCAGTTTTGGGATCGCACTCGTTTCTGTCTGCTCAGGGATCTCTGGGAAGGGTGTACACGGAGTGCCTGTCCCACGGAGGCCCCCTGGATCTTGGAGCTCTTTCCATGAATGAATCGGTCTCACCTTGCTTCCAGAAGATCACACAGAGGTGTGATGGTGATCTGGAGCAGGATCAGGACAGAGCAACGTGGAGCTCTGCTCTTCTTCACACCACCCTGTGATAACTTCTCACGCTGTCCTTATAAAACTGGGAAACCCCCAGTCTGAAACCCACTTCGTGGAGAAAGGAAATAGGAGTGAAATCCGGGTGAATTTTACCTGAGACTTGGGGATGAGGCCGACTCTGAAGAACCCAATGTTCCCACTGTCGATTTTGGTGCAGTCCACCACGGTGGAGGCAACGTTCTCTGGAGAGGGCCCGTCACAAAGGACTGCATCCACCTGAAGAGCAACATTTCCACACCAAAACCCCCTCAGGCACTTGGGAAAAAAGGGTTCCCCCTCTCAACAGCAAGTGATTATTATCTGAGGCAATACTGCTCCTTCCTCCAGAGCAAGGGAATGTGGGGAAAAGCCAAAGAAGGTTCTGTGGGGTGCAGGGCAGCAGTACAGCAAAGACAGGTTTGCACCATCTGAGGAGCTTTGAAGAAGTCCCATCCACCAAGAAAACGGGTGTAAACCCAGATTTTTGAGGAGATTTGTACCAGCTGTTGTTTAAAACTGCCCTCACTCAAGTGCCACAGATACAAAGTGTGGAACCCTCAGGATTTAGTGGTGAAATCATAGAATCATGGAATATTCTGAGCTGGAAGGGACCCCCAAGAATCATCCAGTCCAATTCCAGGCCCTGCACAGACACTCCAACAATCCCCCCTGTCCCTCAGAGTGTTGTTCAAACCCTCCTGGAGCTCTGGCAGCCTTGGGGCTGTGCCCACTGCCCTGGGGAGCCTGGTCAGTGCCAACCACCCTCTGGGGGAAGAACCTTTCCCTGAGATCCAACCTGACCCAACTGAAGACAATGAATGTCCCTTGACCATGGTACTTCCAGAATGTGTGAAAGTCCTAAAAGCCAGGAATATTTTGGAGCTTGGCACCGGTTTTAGAGCAGCTTCAGCTTGAAATGGGAATGCCCTGTGCTCTCACAGCCCAGTGCCAGCTGGAGCCCTGGCACATCCAGGCATCAGGGTTTGATTGCTCATAAGAAAAGAAGGAGTTTTTTTTTTTGCTCATCTCGTCCTGTGTTGGAAGATGAACAGACTCACATTGCCAAGCCATAACTACACAGTGCAAATCAGAGCAATTCTGGTTTCTAACCAAGTCCCAAAGCTTAAAATGTTCTTTTACTGCGACACCAACACAAGGAACGTCCATGAGATTTTTTTTTAAAAGAGATGCTTTCCAAGAGTCTAGATACCATCTCTTGGTTTGCCTACTGGGAGCAAAGTGGTTGTGTCCTTCCATCCCCACATCCCTTGGGAGCAGAGAGCCCTGTTACCTTGTCTCCCAGCCTGGCATACACTTGGTTGTGGTGGGTGGTGTCGGCCTCTCCCGTTGGGTTGGCTGATGTGACCACAATGGGCCCGACCTGGGGGCAGAAAAATGAGAATGAAGGCTCTGAGCTGGTTCTGCTGGATCAAACAGGCGACTCGAGCTCGGAACCTCACTCCTGAGTGTCTGTGGCTCCAAAGAGAGCTTGGTGTGGCTCACCCAGGTACAGGCTCCTCCTTTGGAGGCAACTACAGTCCCACCAAAGTGTGTTGGGGTGTCAGACACTCGCTTAAATTGGGGTTTGTTGATGAAGATCATGAAACAACATTTTGTTTTCCAAAGGCCTGCAATGTCTGCCCCAGGCTATCCCAGTTCCTCTGGCCCCTTTCTGGACCTTCTGAAGTTCCTGTGGCCTCAGCTGAGCCTGTGCTCGCAAGGACAGCGCAGGAAATCAGACAGAATGTCTGTCCACGGCCTTTTTTCTGGGTTTCTGACCTGGTGGTTGCTCCTTTTACCCTCTTTGCTGCCACAAAACCACTTCCAGCCGGGCTGAGGCTGCCGTGGCACTCACCAGGTCGATGAGGTGCGTGGTGACAGAGCAGTCGGGGATGCGGATGGCGACGCTCTGAGGGGTCCCAACGTATTTGGCAGAGTCCTTCATTCCCAGGAAGTCCACCCACTCACCTGCAGAAGAATCAGGTGGCACTTAGGGATGTACATCAGCCCAAACACAACGATCTTACTGGGAATATCTCCACGGAACATCTCCAGAATTACTCCACGGGGTGGAGTTTCCAAGCTAAAGCTCTCCAGAGAACTTGGAACCAAGAGCACTTCCTCACCTCTGGGAACCACCAAGCTGATAGGAGATGGCCAGGCAGCCTCCATGAAGTCCCAGAGGAGGGGAGTGAACAAATGCTTGGCAGGTTCCAGTTGCTTGAGGCTGGAAATCCAGAGGGACATGGGGCGATCCTGAGCCTGGCGCTTGGACCTGGAAAAGGGGTGAGAAAAGAGGAGTCTGGAATTCAGACAGGGATTTAATTTCGAGCTGAAAAGGGAACTGTGTTGGTGAGAGCTAGAGCTAAGACAAGGTGTGAAGGCTCTGCCCCAGGGCACCAGTCTCTAGTACAAGCAGGACTGTTCAGCTGTGACTATTCCCAACCAGGAATGTTTTCTCCAAATCAAGGTTTTGCACTGTGATGGGTGGGAATCCCAATTTCTAAGGAAACCCCACCAATATGAGGGGTCTCAGCTGCTCACAGGAGTCCAAGCAAAAGCCTGTTGTCACAAGAGAGGTTTTGGATGTGACAACATGTACCTCCCAAACCTACAGGATAACCCCCTGTCCCGTCTGCCACTCTCTGGGTTTCTGGTGGTCCCCAAGTTACAAAGCTCCACCACCTGCCAGGAGCAGCTCCTAGAAGACAATTACAGCTCTATTTTCTCCTTCCCTCATCTGGATCTTCTCCCCCACCTTGCTGTTCCCACCAAGGCTGAGCTGCCTTGCCCTTGACCAGCTGCAGCCAGCGCTCAGTAGCAGCTCTGAGTTCCAGAAGCTTCTTTAGACCACGACAAGGACTGACCTGTGAGCTTTCTGAGTTCTAGAAGCTTCTTTAGACCACGACAAGGACTGACCTGTGAGCTTTCTGAGTTCTAGAAGCTTCTTTAGGCCACAACAAGGACTGACCTGTGAGCTTTCTGAGTTCCAGAAGCTTCTTTAGGCCACGACAAGGACTGACCTGTGAGCTTTCTGAGTTCTAGAAGCTTCTTTAGACCACAACAAGGACTGACCTGTGAGCTTTCTGAGTTCCAGAAGCTTCTTTAGGCCACGACAAGGACTGACCTGTGAGCTTTCTCCACGGCATCGGGGCGGTTGCAGGCGGCCACAAGCACGTACACGGTGTCTGTGGGGATGCCACAAGTCCCTCCACTCCTCAGGATATCTGTGGGCACGAGAACAGGGCAGAACCCCCTGAGTGAGGGGCTGTAATTCCCACAGCAGAGCTGTCACGGCCAAACCAGCCAATTCCGTGCTCTCCTCTCCTTTTCCCAACTAACAAAGCGTTCCCTCTGGCAGTGCATTTTTCTGGGGTTCATCCAAGGGGAGATCTGGCACTTAGGGGAGTTCTGGGCCACGTTCCTCAGGGCCAGAAGTGGAGAGAGCAAGCACCAGGCATTGGTGCCATTTGTCTGTACAGAGCTTTCCGTGGCAGCTCCAGCTTGAAGGATTCCTGGAGTCCAGGGTGATGAACAGATAGGAAAATGATATGGGAGACAATTTGCTGCTAAACTCAGATAATTACTCTCATAACTTGGCCCACCTCACCAAAACACCACCAGATTGTCCTGGTTTCCACATCAAGGCCAGGTTGGACGGGGCTTGGAGCAACCTGGGCTAGTGGAAGGTGTCTCTGCCCATGGCAGGGGGTGGGATGAGATGAACTTTAAGGTCCCTCCCAACGTAAACCATTCTGTGACTCTATGATTGGAAAAATGTCCTTTAAGCAGCTGTTCTGCTACGAATTCGCCCAGAATTTCCCCTCCACCCCCACACTGTGCCCTTTGCTCTCCCCTTACCTGCAATCCTCTTGACTGAGGACGCTCTCCTGGCGGGCAGGTGAAGGCACTTGCTCATCCCTCCCCTCACACCACCGAGCTGCACGATGGGCCCTCCCATGGGCAGGCAGGGACCCTCGAAGGTGCCGCTGGAAAGGGCAGACAGGAAGCAGTAAAAGCTGACCAGCCCGAAGCTGAGGGTGGCAGCCGTGTCATATCCAGTGGGAAGGGCATGGATGGCATCCAGGAAGAAGCTGAGAGCGACCAGCATGAACGTGAGGGAGTAGAAGAACCAGGTGATGTTTAGGAAGAGGGTGCAGAGGACGATGAAGCCGTTGAAGAGCATGAAAGCAGCGATGCCCACGGCCGAGTGGAAGCTTCTGGTGGTGCCATAGAGGCCACCATATCTTGCCAAGCCCCAGATGATCCACATGACGGCGTGGAGGATGAAGGCACTGCTCTCCAGGGTTTTACCCCTGGCAAAGGCCACTGAGCCGCCCAGAAGCTTAAGGATCCCACCAGCTACCACTACCCATGGAATGACAACGGTGGCAAGGGGAGCCTGGGGGTCTCCTGGGGCCGTCAGAGCAGAAGAAGCCAGGACGCTGCATGCAAAGGCGAGAGCTTCTGCATCTGCATACTTGGAGTAGCCCAGGTATGGAGCGTGAAGGTCTGGCCCCTCACGGAGCTTCAGGAAACTGCTGCGGGCGAGGAGGGCCTTCACAGCCCCCTTCCCCTTCCCTGGGGGGGTCTTGGCCCCTGCTTTCACATTGTACAGGTGAATTAGAGCCACCAGGGCTGAGGCCACGAAAACAGCCACGGCCACACCTTGGGGGCCCCCTGCAAAAAACCCCCTGGGATGGCAAGCCAAGGCGAGGCAGGAGGCCACATAAACCAGCAAATACAAGCCGTCCAGAGGGCTCTTGAGGGAGAGGAAGAGAGCCAAGACGGCAAAAAGGATGGAGAAAACCACCAGGAATGGGGTAGGGAGTGATGGCTCCTCTGGCTGCCACAGTGGGTACAGGAGGCAGTAGCCTCCAGCAAACTTGAGGATGGAAGTGAATCCAAAGGATGTGGCCATCAGAACATCCATTGCACGGTAGGATAAGATGCAGATGCCAATCTGGTAGATGCCAGCTGCCCACAGCCAGGGCACCTGGCCCATGAAGAGTTTGCTGGTGATGCCCAGGAGCCTGCAGCCAAAAACCCCGGCCCACAGCATGTTCAGGATCAGCCCCGTGGCCGCAAAGGGATTGGTGCTGCCACCGGCGGCTTGGGTCTGCTCGTGGCCCTTTTTCTTGGCCAGATCCGTGCCAGGGAGGGCCATTTTTCCTTTGGTCAGGAAATAGAGGATCCTTCCCAGGGCAAAGTACCCCCCCAGCAAGCAGACGATGAGGTAATTGCAAGCGACAGCGGACGGGCCCAAGGCGCGGCTGTGACGCGTGGCCACGTCGTGGGCACTGGCCAGGGAGGTGGCACCGGAGATGAGGGCCAGGACGGGCTCTCTGCACAGCAATCCCACCACTGCCACGAGGAGCAGTGCCACGGTGAAGGTGGCCAGGCCGGGCACCACGGCATCGCGGAGGTCCCCGGCGTCGCCCAGCGCGCCCTGCCCGGCCAGGACGAAGGTCACTCCGTAGCCACACCAGAAGGCTGAGATGGTCAGGCAGAGGGACGGCAACAGGGAGGCATTCCTGGGGCTTCTCCGGATCCCTGGGGAACAAACACAGGCAGGGCTGTGATTTCCAGACAGTGGGATGTGGGAAGAGGGAGTTGGGCCAAGATCGCTGGGCCAGCCTGGAGCCGCACAGATCCTGCGTGGAGCAAGATTCCTCCTGGAGAAGAGGAGGCTCAGGGAGGGCCTTCTCACCCCCTACAGCTCCCTGACAGGAGGCTGTAGTGAGGTGGGTGTCGGGCTCTTCTCCTGATGAGAGAAAATGGCCTCAAGGGGAGGTTTAGGTTGGATATTGGGAAAATTTCTTCACAGAAAGGGTTGTCCAGCCCTGGCACAATTGTGGAGGGGAATGGTGGAGTCACCACTTCTGGAAGTGTTCCAAAAACACGTGGATGTGGCACTTGAGGACATGGTTTAGTGGTGGACATGGTGGTGGTGGCGCTGGTTGATGGTTGGCATTGGTGATCTTAAAGGTCTTTCCCAACAATTCTGATTCCATGACTGATTTTAATGTCCTCATTACTCTGAGTTAAAAATGAGAAATAATTCAACATTCATTCTAAAAAGTGTGGATTCTGCTACAGGCAGTGATTTTTTCTCTCAGTTAAGTTGATCTCCTGGCATGTCCAGATGGACATTCCAAACCATGGATGCTGAAAGCACTCTCAGAAAGCCTGGGAACCCTTTTTTGAGGAGTCATGGATTCATTGTGTTAAAACTCTCAGAGATCCTTGTTTAACACAAACATTGATTTCTTCTCTTGCCTGTACAGTAAAAATTTGCTGTGCTGACACAGAATCCCAGACTGGTTTGGGTTGGAAGGAACCTTAAAGCTCCTCCAGTGCCACCCCCTGCCAAGGGCAGGGACACCTCCCACTAGCCCAGGTTGCTCCAAGCCCTGTCCAACCTGGCCTTGGACACTTCCAGGGATCCAGGAGCAGCCACAGCTTCTCTGGGCAAATTCCAGGAGAAGGGCTCAGTTGTCCCTGAGGCTGCTGTGGTTTGTATCAGCCCCAGCACATGCTAAGCTGTGGGAGGGGGAGGCCTTGAACCCCCCAAATCTTACCTGCATAGGCCAAAAGAGCTGATAAAATGAGCAGAAGGACTCCAAGAGCTGTGCTGGGGATCAGAGGGGCTGCTCTGGCTGAGCTGTAGAAATGCACAGCCAGCAGAAGTGATCCTATGGGAAAAAGGAGAAACAGCTTGTAAACTTGGCCCAAAAAACCAGGAGAGAACCAGGGTGGACAGGGCAGGGAATAGAGGAAAAATGACAGTACAAGATCTGCAAATAGTAAGTGTTGTGACTTGGTTTGTGCCCAAAGGTCTCACTCCTTTCTGGGTGCCTGGTTTCAGAAAACTTGAAAATAATCATTTCACAACCTGAGAGGTTGTGGATGTTCCCATTCCATCAAGGCCAGGTTGGAGCAACCTGGGCTAGTGGAAGGTGCCCCTGGCCACGGCAGGGGGTGGAACTGGATGGGCTTGAAGGTCCCTCCCAACCCAAGACCTTCTGGAATTCCGTGCAAGTGTCTGAAAGGGCTCCCCCGTTGCCAGATAAAGGGGAAAAATCCGTGATTCCAGTTACACAAAAGACAGACACACACACACATCCTTCAGATAATCCCAGAGACGCTGTGCCAGCAGAAAACCAGCCCCAAAATGCAAAGAGACAGAAAACAAAGAAGGAGGAAATGAAAGGGAGTGAACACGGCAAACAGGAGAACGGCTGGAGAAGGGAGAGGGAGTACATCCAAACCCAGATGATTTATTCCAACGACTACCAAAAAAAAAAAAAAAAGTTTGGATTTGCTTCCCACCCAGGACGGAACCGGCACAAAACTCCACGCCAGCACTTCGCGTAGCCAAGACAAATATTTTGTTGGCCGCTGGAAACGGGCGCGGGGGAGCGAAAAAAGCTTCACCCGCGGGCAGCGCGGCTGGCGAATAAACCTCTTTAGGTTTATTCTGCTAAAGGATGGGGGGGGGGGGGGCGTCCAGGAAAGTGAGTCCCGAGCCCGCATGCCGTGCCAGGACGGATCCCTACCTGCGGCAATGCCCAGGAGCCCGAGGCAGCAGTGCAGGGACCCCGCGCCGTCGCCCATCGCGGTGTGCGCGGAGCCCCGGCCGAGGGCGGCACTGCCGCCGCCTTCCCTCCCATGCTCTTTATAACCAAAGCATCGCGCCTGGCCCGCGCTCGGTCCTCCCTGCTCTCCACCCCTTTTGCCTACAAACCTCTTCTGTTCGAGGCGCTCTCTCCGGGTGCGGGAGGAAAATGCAAATGACTTTTTTCGGGCCGCGATAAATTTGGGGCCGTGAGTCAGCGCGGGCTGCCGGGAGCTCCCTCCAGAGGCCTCTTAATTTTACTCTTGATTAACCCTTGTTAAAAAAGACACTTGACAAATAAGGCTGAGGGTTTATTGCCGTGGCTGCCTCTTTGCTGCTGCCAGCGAGGAAATTGCGCCGGTTAAAATGAAGGTTTTTGCAAGAACCCATCTTGCTGGAGCAAACAAGCACTTTGCAAGCCCAGGAGCTCCTTGGGGACCAGTTGTTTCTCCTGAACACTGGCCACGGTGCTGCTGTTTGTCCCTGCCACAGCTCTGAATGCCTGGCACCGCCACCCTGTGCTGGGCAGGCTCGGTGCCACCCCTTCAAGGTGACTTCTGTCCATCTCTCGCTCCACATCCATCCCAGCCCGTCCAGAGGAGCCCTGTTGGCCTCGAGTAAGTGTCAGGCATTGCCAGGATCGCTGCTGTCCCCAGAGGTGACATGAGGGACCTGCTGACAGCTTCCTGCTGCTTCCCACAGAGAACATGTGGTCAGGGCATAAAGGTGTGTCTGGCTGGAGGAGGGGCTGCAGGAAGCAGTGGACACAGGGATCACACTGGGTCACAGGCCAGGTGGGAACTGGGCAGAGAACTGTTCTGTGAGAGCTGACCGAGCTCTGATGGAAACAGGGGCAGGGCAGCACCTGCCTGGCCTGGACATTCCTCCATCGTTTCGTTTGTGGGTGAGGGACCAGTGTAGGGATTGCTCCCATTAGGGAATTTGCCCCAGTTAAAGCAAATTCTACTCTCCTGACAAGCTAAAAGATGCAGAACAGTGTGAAAAACTCCACATTAATATTCCTGGGCTGGTCAGGGATATTCCTGGTGCTCCCTCCAGGAGGAAGCTCTGATGTTCCTCTCAGTAGGTCCTGCTCCACAGCCAGGCCAGAAGAAGAGAAAAGCTGTTGGAAATGACACTGGGAACTGCTGGAGCTCAAATTCAGGCCTGTGGGATCATCTGAGAGGTGACAGACCTGCAGCAGCATCTGGAACAACCCTCAGGGTCCACAGGTAAATGCCAAGAAATCCCACCTTTCCCGCTCCCTGAGCCAGCTGGAGCAGGATGGATTCCAGTGAGCAACTGGATTCCCTCATGGCCCCCCAACTTCCCTGTTTTTTTCAGGAGGACAGTTCCCTTTAACTGTATTCACCCTTCAGGAAGAGCTTTGAGGCAAAATCCTCCTTCCCAGCCCTCTTCCCAAGAATATCAATGCAGATTAAAGCCAGGTGTTAGTATCAAAGCCCAGATTAAAGCCAGGTGTTAATATCAAAGCCCAATGTCTCCACCACAATAAATGTGGGCAGATGCTGCCACCCAGGATGGAATAACCCTGCTGAGAAATGTTATTTATCACAAATCTCTATTGCAGGGAGATCTTTAGGGCTGACACATCTGCTGAGACAGAAACAAGCCTGGTTTGTCCACTTACACCAAACCAATTAAACCAGTAAGGGGAACCAGCCCCATCAGTTTGCAACACGCAGAGCTAAACAATGTGGTTTGCAGCAAGGAGATTGTTTAAATCCCCAATCTCTGGCTATCTCTGTTCCATCACTAACAGGACTGCTCCTGGACCAGCTGGAGGAAGAAGTTGCAGCATAATTCAGCTGGTTTTTCATGCAAGAGGAGATAATACACCTCTAAACCATCGTTAGAATTCCCTGGATAACAAAACAAGCAGCAGTGAAAATGCTTTGGGTATCTTTAATGCATATCTCACAGTTTAATTCGTGTTCTGGGCAATAAAAGCAACTGAGAGGCAAAGCCTGTGGGACTGCAAGTCCTCTCTCACATGTTTTTTGTTCCTGCTTGTACAGGTGTCCAAAATCCCTCATTTTGGGACATGCAGTAAATGAAGTCATGAGCCTGCTCTGAGTAACCAACTTGCCAAAACACTGGTTCATCACCCACAGGAGGTACTTCATGTCTCTCCCAAATCTGACAGAGCCCCAAGGAGCGTGTCTTACAGATAACCCTGGAAAACATTCTGCACTCTTCTTGCAGAGGTATTTTGTTCTCTCCTGAAGGATGGGAAGTCAGCCTTGACAGGGCAGTTGTTTCACCAGGCCAAGCTGAGACAGAGGTCCAGGGTCTTCTCAGATGTGAGCAGAGCAAGGGCAGGGAAGGAGGAGTTTCAGACAATGTTTAATCTGCTGCCAGTGCCCCTCCAGAGCTCAGGGCTCTGCCAGTTCCTGGCACCACTTCCCTGCCAAATGGAGAGGTGGGGCTGTTGAGGAAGAATCAAGTTATCCCTCTAAACAACACTCTTGGGTGGGATTTTGGGGTGTCCTGTGCAGGGCCGTGAGCTGGACTTGATAATCCTTGTGGGTCCCTTCCAGCTCAGGATATTCTATGGCTTTTTGACCATGAATTTCTAACCTCAGGCCAGGAACATCTACAGCTGAGTGCAAAACATCTGCCCTCGAGAGGGGGGATCTGAGGGAAAGAACATTCAGAGTCAGAAAAGGAAATCTTGGCGTTAAGCCTGAGGCAGCCTATGCAGTGTTAGGGTTTAAAAAATGGGGTCCAGAGAGGAATTCACTGGCTTCAACACTTGCTCTGGGCAGGCTCCCTTTGACACCACCTCCTGTGCAAAGGTTTTGGTGCTTTAGTCTGAACTAGAATGGAAAATCAAGAGCTGAGAAGGAAAAACACAGCTGCTCTGTTGGGCACGTCACGTCAGCTGGGGCTGCTTTGCAGACAACGTGCTGGGAGGAAGATCTGTGAGGGAGCAGCCAGTTGAGGAAACAAATAATATTTACATGCCCTGCCTGTGGAACTGGAAATAAAACCCTCCTGCCAGCGAGAAATTCAGCCCAACCCTCCTGGCCCCACCTGCTCCTGGGGGAGGGATTGTGCTATAAAAGACTCCGGGTGGTGAACAGAGCTCACAGCAGCGCCCCGGGGCTCTCCAGGGAATCCTGCTCCGGTGCTCCATGGGGAAGAGGGTGGCTGTGGTGCTGGCTGGCTGTGGGGTCTACGATGGGAGCGAGATCCACGAGGCTTCGGCTGTGCTGGTGCATCTCAGCAGGGAGGGGGCACAGGTAAGAGGCTCCTGCCCCGGCTCCAGCTCTTTTTGCCCCTCTCTGCTCCTCAGTCTTCTCCTCCTTGTCTCCCAGACAAACCACAAGCTCCCTGTCGCTTGCAAATCATGAGTGAGTGGAGTCAGAGGGGACAGCAGAGCACGGGAGCTGTTCCAGTGAGCCTGGAGAACTCCCTGCTCCCTGCTCAGCTCTGCTGTACCACGGGCTGGGCTTGGATCTCTGTGCTCAGTGTCTCCAAACTCTTTCCCGAACAGACTTTCCTGAATGCCTTCTCTATTCTTTTTTTTTTTTTTTTTTTTGGCTTGTATTCCCTCTTTTCTGCTCCGCTGTTTCAGTTTAAAAGACTGTTATTGGTTTGGGCTCTTTGAAATCCAGCTTTTTAAAACCTCAAAGATTAGAAGCGAAAATTGAATCAGAGAATCACAGGATGGTTTGGTTTAGGAGGGACCTTAAAGATCATCCAGTTGAACTCCCTGCCATGGGCAGGGACACCTTCCACTATGCCAGGTTGCTCAGAGCTCCATCCAGCCCCGTCCTGAGCACTTCCAGGGATGGGGAGTCCACCTCTCTGATGAGAGAATAGACAAGTTCTTGTGAGTTGAATTTGGGGAGGAGTAAAAAAAAAGGCAGCTCTAATATACTATTAGTCAGGAGAGCCACACGGTGAGACTGGAAAAGGAGGGAGGGACCCTGTGGAAAACATCACACTCAGCTCTGAGCCGGCCACGTGTCTGGGGCAGAGCCGTTCCCTCGGGAATGGCTCTGTGGGACACAGAGGTACAGTGATGATGTACTATTGAGGACATGAACTCAATTCCACACCCTTCCACCTCTGCCTGCTCAGTTCGGCTCAGAGCTGGGACTTGTCCAAGCGTTTTCTCCACAGGGTGTAATTTTGCCTCTTTTCCTCTCCTCGGGTCGCTCCCCTCCTGCCATTCCCGAAGCGGCGGGCTCGGAGCACGTCCTGCCTCATCCCTGGATCGCCGGGGGCCTCTAGTGGAGGAAACTCAGGCGTTATTCAATCCCTGCTTTCATCGGGAAACACGAATGTCTCAGCTGGAAGGGAGGAGAGCGCAGCACCTCCCTCCTACGTCCCCCCTCGGGGAGCTGCGGAGAGCCACGAGGTCTCCCCTCGGCCTCCTCTTCCCCAAACTAGACAAGCCCAAAGTCTTTAGCTGCTCCTCCCAGGACGTTCCTTCCAGCCCTGGCACCGGCTTTGCCCTCTTCGAGCTCCTTCACATCCTTCTTACACCGTGCAGCCTGGAATTGCACGGGGTGTTCAGCCCCAAAATCTTTTCCCCACCTGTTTGCCACCCTCCACTCTCAACTGCTGCATGTGAGCTTGGAAATGCTGGAGGAAGGGGAAGCATTTTCCAGAAAAACACTCTGGCTTTGGGAAAACAGTAGCTGGGGAGAGGAAACTCCAAGTCCCATCTCTGAGGGAGGCACATGGTGGGACAGCAGCTCCCACAGGGATCCACTGGCTCTGTGGGGCAGCTGGGACGGGGCTGGGGCTGCCCCAGTGAGGGGGATTCGTTGGGATAGGGATGGAAACCTCCAAGAAACAGCTTCACCAAGGGCTCCTCAGCCCCCAAAACAAGCAGTGTGGGCTCCCTGCTTTGCCCCTGGGCAGAAGCTACAAAAAGCCTCTCTTTCCCTCCTCTGCCTGATGCCAGTAGCAGATCCAGGTGAAGGTCACGGCATTCCCCGGCAAAGTCCTTTCCTAACCTAGT